TAAATCAGTCTTGGATTTAGAAAATCCATAGGTGAATTTCCTTCCTTCTGCTTACTGTTCAGTCCTTCCAGTTAGACCTGGAAGAAAGCATTTCTGCTATGGGAAACTTCTGGAAACTTGTAAGGCACACCAGTTGCCTGCCTTGTTAAAACTTCTGCTCACTTTTTAAGAGGAAGGACATTAAATAAAACCTTTCCCATTCACTCTTGAAAATAATGAAATAAGCTGATCAGTGATGGCTGTCAGATGGCACGCTAAGTAAAACTGCATACATTTAATTGTATTGCCTCCATCCCACCATCTCAATACATCATTTCATGTATCATGTGTGTGCTATGCAGATACTGTCTCCATAGGCTTATGTACAATATCGGCATGATAAAAGTGTTTAAATACAGCTGCAATATAAATAATAAGTAGCCAATAGGCACTTTAATTCTATGCCTATTTCACTATTCTGGTATCTGTACTGGTAACACTGACTGAACAGTAAGATGATTGAGGAAGACTCTTCTGTACACTTGCTTTAACAAGGAAGTTATTACAATTTAAGTTATTATTTTAAAAATATGTTAATTAACAACCTAGAACCAACATTGCAAAATGCAAGAGCACAACTTTGCATATCCTCCAGATGTCTTCAGCTATAGGCAAACATGGCAAGAACAGTTCTAAAAAGTTTCTAGGCTGCAACTTTTTAGTTAGACAAGGGGTAATGTATACACTTCAAAATAGCAACAGTGCAGAGATCAAGTTTATTTGAAAAAATTGATTGAAACTACAGAACAAAGTATTTTAAAGGAGTTAGGGCCCTCCCTGTCAAAAAGTAAATCTTCCCACTGTAGCTTAAGACGCTAGAAAGCCAGCTGTGAAAGAACACTTAATTCATGTGGTTGAATAATTAAATTATTCAAGTGGTAAAACAGAGAGTGAATACCAGTGAAACTATTATAACATAGCAAACAAAGGCTTTTAGTTACCTACTGATATAAGGTCACTCTCTGTAAAGTCAAAATCTTTTAGTATCATGAGCAACTATATATGCCTGAAAAGGAAATAAATACGATTTGGGGGGAGCGGGGGGTTAGGAATGTGTTACACATGAAAAAGTTATATTTAGTTATTTATAATATTGATGTTAAAGATCGTCTTTTATATAACTTTGGGACTGAAATCTATTAAACAAAAACCATGCCATAGGAACGGAAGTGGTGTGCCTGAGCAAATGTATAAACTTTTTATTTTGAGCCAGCATGGGTGGCCAAATGCTAAGCTGATGATTGAGCTAAAGCCCAAGAACAAAATGTTGCTCTTTCTGACCACTGAGGAATTTTGGGAAAAAGGAAGGAAAGAGAATAAAAGTATTTCTGTGGTAAGTTCTACTTTAAAAAAATGCTGCCAATTGAAGCAACTTCAAGGTATTGATAGATTAATGGGAAGTGTAGTCAGAGAGACAGCCATAGCACCGATTTGCCACATATTGGTGTAATTTTATACCTATACTTATTCTACATAAGGGTGATGGCTGTGGGAAAACTGATGGAGAGATTCAGCCTGAAACTTAACTCACATGTATAGGAAGTACTATTTTCACGACAATATTGAATTTGTAAACTGTTTAGATTATCTACCCAACTACTTCAAAGATATCCACTGTCTCTTTCCCCACAACTAAAAAGGTACAAATCTCCATGTGGCCATTTATCCAGAGAAACTAAACATGGGGGTCCAGGTCATGAAATGAATGAATATTTAATGTTTGGTGGGTTGGTGGACAGAACTCAGCCAGCTTCAGAGAGGCTAGAAATGAAGTCTCACCAAAGGCAAATGTAATGATGTGCTACCATGTCTCTTAAGTATGAAAATGATTGTTGCTGCTGGGGCAGGGGTTCCCCGAGACTGGAGATTAGGAACCCCCTGAACTGAAACTCATCTATAGGATGCTCCTAAATAGAGCAGGTTGAGAATTCTAAGCTAAGTATTTCCTTTAAGCAGCAAGACATTTAAAGATATGAAGAAGGCCTATGCAAAGTGTATATAATATAAAAGCTGTCCCTCCTAAGTGATGGATTTCAGTTTAGGCCTCATTTTCCTGTGGAAGCCTATGACAATACTGTCATAACTGAGGTAAGCATATTCAGAAAATAGGATTTTATCACTGGCTACTTACTATGGAAATTGATGCTGAGCAGTAAGACTTTTCACCTAAAAGATAAAATTTCCTGGAAGCTTTGTCCTTTGGATGGCCACATTGTCTGGCATTTCCCCTGTATTACAGGTACTAGAGAGCCAGGAATCTGATGCAAACAGAAATATGCAACTTCTTTGAGAAAGAAAATAAGTCCTTGTCTAAGTTTTTCAAAGCTGTAATCAGAAAGACTAGAATCTGCCAAAGGTCCTTAGCAGGTTCTTCTATTTGATTACGAGCACTGCCAATAAGCATGAGAAGTTAGAACACAGAATACCAAATAACCTGTGTGCTCTCTTCATTGTCCAAAGTATCTGCCATCCTCCCCTGAAGTACTGATAGGGCTAGTGGTTAAGTATTATTGAGTAGCTCTCTTCAACTCAAAGTAGAGAGGGACATGGATTTTTAATAATTAGCTGGAGAATTTTCCTATAAATCTTCTACAGGTTGCCCACCCCTGATTTAGGTAGCTTGTGAGAAGCAAGAACAGCTCCTTGAGGGCCTAGAAGAGTGGAAAGAATCTAATGAAGACTCCTAGGTTAAGTACAGACAGTTAAAAAGCCTGAGACTGAATCAGTTCAATCTCCACAGCTTAGTCTAAGCTACTTAGACTGAACTGATAAGCAAGTGAACAGACATTCACTTTTGATTCCAGAAATGCAGCCACATGCTTGCAATGGTCCAAGCCAGAAGCTGGGGGGTGCTAGAGAACACCTCTCTGCTTGGCTGGAGCAGACAGCTTGGGCCAAGGCTAGCCAGCCCGCCCACCCTGAAAGGGAAGGTTTCTGGAGGAGGTGCAAAGCATCCTGGGATGCTGAGGGACTGTAAGTTAACCTGAATCTGGAGGGGATCTGGGATATAAGTTCAATGAACTGATTTAACTTACATCAGTTAAGTCTGATATTACATCCATCCAGGTTTATCTTAAACTAGTTTCAGTCACTTTGAGAGTAGTTTATGTGCACTCAACTTCTGTTATATTAGATTTGAGCCAGTTTCTAATCACTTATACTGGCTTATGTGTAATTTCTGCCCCTAGCCTTAAAGTCTGTTGTTAGCAATGTGTTGTTGTATTTGGGGGAAGTCCCAGACTGTGGGCAGGGGGAAGGTTGAAGGAGAAACTGACTGAAAACAGGTCCCTGCTTGGTTCCAGAGTGAGAAAGCAAAGATAAATACTTCTGCTCTACTGGTAGGGTTGACTTCTGCAGTGGAAGGTGGCTACTGGTACCAGCAGTTTAAGTTTTGTCAGTGCCATTGATAAAAGTCAGTAATAGTAACTTAGTGTCAGGGCTCCTCTAGACGTTCGGGTAAAGATTTAATAGATTCATTAGACATTAGGGCTGGAAGGGACCTTGAAAGATCATCAAGTCCAGCTTCCTGTCCAAGGGGCAGGAAGTCAGCTAGGGTCAAAAGATCCCAGCAAGATAAGTGTCCAAAGGCACAACAGGATTGGATACGTGATCTATACAATCACCTCCTGCCATGCCACATGTGATGGTAGAAGGCGTGATTGTGGGATTCACCATGAGATCCAATTACGCCTTATTGCCAGTGCAGGTAGATCAGTTGCACCAGGGTCTGTGGAGCCCTGGCTGGGCTTGTTGCCAGCAGTGGGTGCACAGGCACCTCAGGGCAAGCGGCAGGGAAAGGGCTAGGAGGTCCCAATCCCTACACCTTAAAGAGTATTGCTCAGTCCTGTCCCACATTGATATGGTAGAGAATTAATTGGCCTTTGACAGTTCCCACCCAATTCCAGTCTTTGGGTGACTAACCAAAAGAGGTTACAGATGCTTTCTTGGTACCAGTAACAGGAGAGTTAGAGCTTTAGTCATACTTACAGCATCACTGATATGAAGCAAAGTCTCTGGAGAATTGTCTTCTTTTAATCAGGAGAGTTTCTTTCCAAATACTGTTCTTCCCTTGTGGATCAGTTATCAGCTAGCAGCTAGAATCACAAAAAGTTAGGGTTGCACAGGACCTCAGGAGGTCATCTAGTCCAACCCCCTGTTCAAAGCAGGACCATCCCCAACTAGATCATCCCAGCTAAAGCTTTGTCCAGCCAGGTTTTGAAACTCTTCAAGGATGGAGCTTCTACCACTCTCTGGGTAATTTATTCCACTGGCAAGTTTTGGTGAAAAACATCAACTATCAAAGGAAGCATCTGGAATATGGATTTTGCCAAATATCAGAAGACACCAGCTTCTTCCATCAGTTAAAGTAACCTGATAATCATGAAGTTTGAAGCAGAAGGGCTAAGGTTCAGCTCTTAGGCAACAGTTACCCTAGTTCTGCAATTACAGGAAAAAGGAAAGAGGTTTTTGTTTTTAAAAGCTAATGGGCAAACCTGGTAAAAGCTTCTCACTAAGCAACACTAACCATTGCTTACACATTGACCAGGAATGCATCAACATTTTCAGACACGCACAGAATTAAGAAGTTACCAAGAAGAGGTCTGTCCTCTATGTCCTGAGATAGAAAAAAAAGCAAGAACACACAGAATGCAGGCATGACCAGAGTCTTGCTGGTTAAAAAATTCTGATCTCTTCTATTTGAAACACATCCACAAGGACAAGAAGTAGGAATCACTCACACTTGAAAAAATACAATATAGGCCTTATTGAATGTATGGATAAGATATCCCCTTCCCAAGTATTCCAACAGAAGTCTCTCTCACATTTCAGAACAAGCTTTTTTGCTTTTTCCTGTCTTTTAGATGACACATTTAACTTAATAAAAGTTGTCCAATTTTTTGTGAACTGTGAAGAGACAAAAAAGTTTGAATGGATGTAGACGACAATCATACACACACCAATGACATAAAATAATATTTATTGTATAGGCTCTCTCAACAAAATGTCAACAAAATAGAAACAAGCAAAAGGGGAAGACAGCATAGTTTCCATAATGTATTTATACTATGCTTGTACAAACAGAAATCTCTCCAGAGCTTCTTTAAACATAGAACACAACTCTCACATTTCAGGCAGTGAACATCAAGCCCAAATCTAACTTAAAACAAGAAAAACTGCCTCTACAAATTATGGAGACATAAGTTTCTTGATTTACCCATAATAAATTAGGAAACAGCATTCCACATACAAACAGAATTGCTTTAGCAAGCAACAAGGAAACTCAAGGATACACTGCATCTGCTTGATCAAAGAAAAATAATGACTACCATGGTATAAACCTGTTCGTCTTAATTTCCTCATCTATTCATATCGTTTCCAAGCTGCCATGTTTCAGCTTCCATACCAAGAAAAATACAGTCTTTTTGCACATGATCTACTTCCACAGGTTTCCCATTCCAAGCATCTAATAGCGTAGCTTTGAACACACTGCTTTGTAGCTATATGTAGCTAAATGCCTTATTTATTATAAAAGCAAACAACACCTTCACAAGCTTGGCTGTTGGGACACTCTAATGGAAAGAAAATAATAGTTTTACAAGTCCTAGCTCCAAGTATTCTGGATTGCTATATCCTGGGACATGTTTTCCAACAAATTGCTGAGGTGGTCCCACCACTCTAAAGTATACATGTAACTTCATTTCTCCCAGAAGATCTGCACCTGTTAAATATGTGATCTTGCTTTCAGTGTTGACACCTGTTTTAGCTCCTTAGCTCCAATAAGGTTATTCTTTATGTTTGGCTTCAAAACGTGACATCCAACCTTTAAAAGAGAAGATATTTTAAATAAATATTTTTAGACAACTCATAATTGAATAGCAAAAGGGAAGTTTTCAATATAAAGATACTGGACATTTGAAGGGCTACTGCACTCTTCCCATAACTTAAGAAAAATAAATTATTACATTAGCAAAAAACTGACCAGACCAATTCACAAATGTCACATGCATATACAAACAACTAATACTGATCTGGCTGCTGGGTAAGATTCTGAATATAACTCTTTCCATCTTCTTTCTTTGATTTTTGTCCACAATTTTCCATCGGTTTGACACAACTTGTTTTGGGTGACGTTCAAATTATGACCCTCTAATACGCTGAACCAGTTGTGTTACTTACATAAAGAGAAACACCTGAAGTTTCTGAATTAAGTGGCTGATTTTGCTGTAGCAAGTTTCAGTTTATCTTTTTATTTTTTTATACTGACTATAATATTCTGCTGAGACTGTAGCGATAGTATTTAATTTTGCTCGGTTGTGTTTAAGTTTAGTGTCTTGCTGTAGAATTTCTTACTGAATATAAAATGTATGCATATGATTTGATTAAAATTGCATGTCACTACAAACTTCAGAAAAGAGAAAATGATGGTAGGAGATGCAAATATGGATCTAGTCTCCATGAGAATTCTTATAATTGGAAAACTAGTCAATCCTACATCAATCCTTTTCACTCAGCTAGCTAACCATCAATATAATGACGGCTGCAGGGGAACTTCTAGATTTCACCAACAGGTTTTAGATTCTGTAGATAATATGTCTCTCATTGAGACTTAAAAACAGATTACTGAAACAAAGACATCATGTAGAGCAATGGTTGGCAATGATTTTTGGCAGCAGATCCAAAGGGGCCAGCACTAGGACTCAAATATTGCTGCTGCTTCTTACCACCACCTAGCTATCATAGGGGTGAGGACCTCCAGATCCAATGGCTCTGTAGGTCGGATCCAGGACACAGGTTGCCAACCCCTGATGCAACAGGGAGAGGGTGGGAGGTGGCTCCCGTTACTACGTGCCACTTATTTGGGAGCCGCTGGTCCAGCACTTGCCCAGCAGCTCCCGCTGCTGCTCCTGCCACTCATTCAGGAGGGCGGGGGGGGGGGGGGGTACGCACCCCTGGATC